CGAATCTGCTGCGGAGTGAGGTTGTCCATGTAGTCCAAGATTCCCTATGTCAAATATCATGACTGGTTACAATCAGAACCAAAAACATTTTAAAAACACCGCTGCTGGGTAAGAAAAGCCATCATCCGCACGCTGCTTGCTTTGTATATTTGATTTGCAGCTACAATGTTTCGATCGCCTCGTCACCTTGACAAAAACAGCATACATGGCCATTTCCGAGGGTTTCTCGTTAACCAGACCACAGAGCAGCTCCAGAGCCACGTCCACCTCTCCACCCACACCACTGCACACGTGGGTCACGAGAGAGCCCACCACCTCCTATTAAAATACCACGGGGTTGAATTACTCAGAAGAATCTGTATTTAGAAACATTTATGCATGATTCAAATTATTCTCAAACTCACCTGATGGCAGTAAGAGTCAAACGCAGTGAAGGCATGTAGGTACATGTTTCCTCCGAAAGGCACCACGCAGGGGTCGGGTGAGCGTACCAAACTCTGAGCTAAAGCAAGGGTGGAGGGGAAGTACCCTCGCATGACCTAAAAGAAGAACAATAATAAATACAATGAAGTATTAAAAATTAAAAAAAAAAAAACAGCACTGGGCTTGTGTTCTTATATTTAAGCTTCTATTTCTACAGGCTGACCCACCTGAGCATAGTCCCTGAAGGTTCTCTGTAACAGAGCCTCTTGGATCAGTCCGTTTCTCACTTTGACCTTCAGCACTCTTTCTGCCCCCCGTCGGCTCTGGTTGGCATTGGTGGAGTGAAGAATGAGCAGCACCAGGAGATCCATGACCTAACGTGGCAAAGCAGAAATATTACAAAGAGATGCCTAAAAACCTTAATGTGGTGTATAAACAGGCTTCCTAAATGTCCTCCTTCAAAATGTTTCCCATAATCCAACTGTGACAGTTGACATCAGTAAAGATGAGTAACAACATGGTCTAGTAGGTGCATGTACACATGGTGGTGGACTCAAACAAGTCACTATGATAAGCAAGAGAAATTAATTTCTGTAAGATTATCCAGATGTTATGAAGAAATGTGCTTGAAATGTTAAAAGTAACTATCCAATAGCTTTCTAATAGTGGAGACTTTTGGATGCCCGTGGTTCTCAAACTCTGATGATACAGAAGCTAAAATCACACTAGTCACCCCAGAATGTTTTAAATCTGTCACTACGTAAATACAAAATCAGCAGCTTAACTGCATAAATTACATTAATTCAACTTCTTCTTATGTATACAGCCATGAATTTTTCACCTGGTGACCCATGGCCCCCTTCTGTTTGAGAACCAGTGTATAGACCTAAGAATGGGACCAAGCCGTCAGTTAGCATTCTTTGGGAATATGCTGAACTTACCTTATGCCCCTCCACCTCATCCACAGACTCTATGGCCTATTAAAAAAAAACAGAGAGAAAGAGAGAGAGAGGGGGGAAAGTACATTTAAGTCACTGACACAAGCAATTGACTCAGTCAGTTAAGTGAGGGGCCATAAGAACATTAGTTAATTTCATACCTTGATCCAAGCCTCAGAAATGGTTTTCTGGAATCGCACTGCAGACTTGATGCAGTCCAGTATCAACGAGATGCTGTCCTGGCTGCTGCCAGCTGCTGCCGCGGAGGCAGACCTGCATCAAAAACATCAAAAACTGGATCACATCACCAACAAACCACATTTATTACTTCAAAACTTCAGGTGTGTCACATGTTTTGATACTGGGCTATAAATTAATTGTTATCTTACCCGCCTGGTGCTTTGCTATTCATACGACTCTGAGAGACTTGCAGCACAGGCGGAAGGACGCATTGCTCAAGCTCCAGCTTTTTTCGAAGATTACAGACAACCTAAAAACAAGGAACCACTTCTCATATCCATTCATTTAGTAAAATTATAGTGTTTATGGGGATTTTTTGTATTGCTTGACCACTCTGACCTCGTATGCATCAGAGGCCGACACAGAGTGCAGGATGAACTTGACCACTACGGGGAGGTCCTCTAGCTGCACAGCAGCCAGCGTGGCCATAACAGCTCCACGGACCTGAAAAGCCAGAGAAGCGACAAGTAAGAACGCATTTCTACCAGTGCACATGTGTGTTTATATGTGTATGTCCACACTACCTCTGTCAGCAATGAAGATGCGAGGTTAAGACTAGAAAGGGCATCCAGGATGGGAACGGTCAACTGAGTCTTCTCCTGGAGTAAAGAGCTGCAGAGAGGAGGGGTATTAGCAGCAACCTTAAAACACAGATTGACCACAGCACATGTGTGTTAGAGATTTAGTGTACATACTTGAGCTCCCTGGCTATATCATTGTGCTGGGAGTCTTCCAGTATCTCTGGCAAACTGGTGATGATGTCACACTGAACCTCCGCCGGAGCTACTGACACCAACTCCATGAGCTTCGACGCCAAATCCTGCAGGAAGATAAATAAGCACAAAAGAAGAAACATGTGATTATAGGACAAACTCAACAGGCCAGACACACCTTCAATTACAAAAGCAACAAAACCTGTCATCAAACAAATGATTACCTTAGTGTCCACAACTCTGTCTAGCCATTTGAGTTGGTTAATAATAATGCGTGGGATACTAACTCCTCCATCGTTGGTACTATGGAGTAGAGAAGACAGTTAGATTTTTTTTTAAAGACACATTAAAAGTATTCCAAATTTTAAACCAAAAAATTGTGTAGTACATCAAAATGTCAGGAAATACTGACCTATCTAACATATACTCAGGGAGCTTCTCAAGCAAGGTGTTAATGATGGAAGTCTATTAAAAAAAAAAGGACAGGTGATTGGGGATTTGTGGTAGTGTATTTGTACTAATACATACTGCTTTTCATTTTGACTGTGCTTGTGAAAATGCAGTTTTCATTTAGAGGTGATCACAGAAAATCTCACCTGTAACATTTCAATCCCCAACAACATCCGCAGCAGGCTTTCCTGGAATGAACTGACAGAACTGCAGCACACATGAAAACATATCAGTTTTATTAGCTTAGTCCAACTTCTAGCTGTGTCCTCCATAATTTATGGAGCTGTCAAAAGTAGCCTTATAATTCATTGGTTGTTTATGGGATGTTTACCTGGAGTCTCGATTAGACGACTGTGGGATGCATGGAAGAAGGCAGTTCCTAAACCTGTCAGTGTTCTCCATATATGACTCCAGTGCTGTGATGAATTCTTGAATGATCTAAGAGATGAAAAGTAGGAACTTAGGGCGAAACGTGTTTTTTGTTGTATTTTTGTGTTTACTGTAGGGTTGTTGTACGGTTTATACTCACACCAGGATACCTGGGGCTCTTCTGAATTTGCTGCTGTATTCGTCTCTGAAACACTACTTGGTCAACACCTGGAGAGGGATAAGACCAGATGTAGGTGAGCATCTCATTTCATTTACAGCCCTGCTTTGTTTCAAAACTGAATTGAGTGCGTTTACCTATCTCGTTAGGCATGCCGCCCTGTCTCAATGTGACACCGGCCACTCTGACAAAGTCAACAAACACACACTGACTGGTCTCCTCTGGGGCAGCTTCCTTAGACTGGCGACCAGCGCTGCGACTCTTCTTCACTTCTGAAAGCAGATATAAACCTTAAAAAACAATATCACAGAAAACAACTATACAGCTTCTCTCGCGGGAAAATGTGTCAACAGAGGTGCTACTTAGCTCCCAAGACTGATGAAATTTTTGGGAATACATGGAGAAACATGCCTTATACACATACACGTTTTAAACTTACTAGGTGCTGCAGGAGCTCCCTCTCCTTTATCCACGGAGGAGCGTCGCTTTTTGCGCATCATCTGATGAAATATGAAGGACAGAAGGCTGTTAATAGCTATATTAGGCTACCATACACACACAGACACACACAGGGGAGTTAAAAAAGGAGGGGACGGTAACCACTGTCGCTATAATAAACGACACAGTTCAATAACTTTAACACAAACGTGCTTTTTGTCTTTAACATCATGTCGATATGAAATGTTCTGGTAAGGTTGACAGAAATGTTTTTATGAAAAATGGTAGACATACTTTTACTGAGCAGACGAAGCCACGGACGACCAAACACCGAAGTTACAAAACAAACTTCCGCGCCAAACAGCTCCGCGTCATCAGTGTCGTCACACTCGCGCATCCTATTGGCTGCTAGAAAAGCTCTGCACCGTCTGTTTACTGATCTGTGTGCTGTATTTTACTGCAGTCCGTCAGTAATGTGCAATATTTTCATTTTCAAACACTCAGCCGGTGTGTATGAGTTGGTCATACTTAAGCGTTTGGGACTGGATACTTAATAACTGAACCGGCTTTACGGGACGAGCAACTCCATCAAAGAGTACACTGGATCAAGCTATTGCAGTGCCCCTTGCTTTCTTCTTCGTCTCTCTTAGTTTGCCGACAACATTGTCCCGCTAATATTTAAATTTATTAAGTTAATGCATTACTTATTTACATAAAAAATATATTAATAAATATAGTTTTTATAAGTAAATTTTTATTAAAAATAAATAATCATATTTATACATGAGCCTGTATGGAACCCCACAATATTTTCATGACAATACATTAGTGTGTATTTTGACAGTCCGCCTACAAAGTATTTGCATGTATATTCAGCTTTAACTGTACTTATTGTATACTTTCTTTATTTTTTACTTTTTTGCTCTCAACTGATGACATGCAGATGCAGCTCAAATAGCTGATTTTGTTTCCACAGAAAATTTAGAAAATGTGGGCTAGTTCTGAAGAAGCACCAAGGTAGGCCTGGCTTTGCACCTGCAGCCAAATTGGGGCAGTGGAAAAGAGGCAGGACACAAATGTGCAATCAATACAGACAGTGTACATGTGCATATCAATTCACATGTACACATATCAATTCACAGGTTCTCAGGGGTGTTTGGAGCAGGTTATCGCCCTGCGTGGTATACCAGCCCACTAATTTCAGGGAGTGAACTATCTTGGCAGGCAATACAAGCTCTTTCACCATATAAAGCTGGTCCAAAGAAACAGAAGAGCGCACTGTGTTGGTAGTGAAGAAGGCATCTGCTCTACCAGAAGAAAGGAGGAAGAAAAGGAAAGAAAAGAAAACAATGGCTACAAGTTTTTACGACCTCACGGCCAAACTGTTGACCGGGGAGACGTTTAATTTCTCTTCCCTAAAGGGCAAAGTCGTCCTCATTGAGAATGTCGCTTCTCTCTGAGGTACGACCGTCAGGGATTACACCCAGATGAACGAGCTCCACGAGCGGTACGCCAGCAAGGGGCTTGTGATCTTGGGAGTACCCTGCAACCAGTTCGGCCATCAGGTGAGAAATTTATCCCGTCTATCTGCGCTTTGGAGCACATGGCTAAGGCCTTTCTGTCCCGTCAGTCTAGAAATAATCATTCTGTAAGTGTCGTTACTCTAAATTTCCTGCTTTCACCGTTAATTTATCATATTTTCCCGGAAATGGCTGACTTATTTGTATTTAATCAAATTAGAGGAAGTTATTTCCACCCCTTATTTAAAGGTTTAATCTTGTATAGTTTCCAAGTTTACTGGCAAGTTTTAGATCGGGCTTTAGTATAATATTAGTCAGCTTGTAAGTACAAGAGACACGTCTAAATCCATAGGTTATTAGTGCTGTTATTATATTAGCTGAATGCGCAAAGCATTGGTGACTTTTAGCAAGGAGGAAGTTGTGGCTGTGTGTGAGATTTTCGTCTTACAACAAAGAGTTTTTACGCAATATGAAATATACTTTAAAATGGTTAATATTTTATAAGGCGCTGAAGGACTACACAGGTTATTGTTACTAGTTACTTATTGATACATAGTTATTGGTGGGATTCAAATAATATTGAGTACTTGCTGTAGGGAACAGGGAAGTTTGTATTTTCTGGTTCTTCCCGATAAGAATGAGCCAAGAGTGTAACTGTGTGCAGGAGAACTGCAAGAATGAAGAGATCCTCCTGTCGCTGAAGTATGTCCGTCCTGGAAATGGCTTCGAGCCCAAGTTTCAGCTCTTTGAGAAGATGGACGTGAACGGGAAGGACGCCCACCTCCTGTTTGCGTTCCTGAAGGACAAGCTTCCAACACCCAGCGACGACGCAACGTCTCTGATGACCGACCCCAAGCTGATCATCTGGAGCCCGGTGTGCAGGAACGACGTGTCCTGGAACTTCGAGAAGTTCCTCATCGGGCCGGACGGTGTGCCGTTCAAGCGTTACAGCCGGAGGTTCCTCACCATCGACATCGAGGGAGACATCAAGAAGCTCCTCAGCCAGACGAATTAAAACCTCGTCCTAAATGCTGAAGCAGCCTGCAGCTTAGCACTATGTGTGTGTAGCCTTCATAACGAGAGAAACACCACTGCGCTTACAGCTTCAATAGATGCCACCTAAACTCACCACCTGTGCTCTCCTGTACGCAGTAGCTGTCTCCTGCTTTCTTTTTTTTTACTAAATGAAGAAATCCTCTGAAACCAAACTGTGAGGAGGATATCTGATGAAATGTAAAAGGCAGGACTGTTTTATCGCTTCAAAGCTGCGCTGGGTGCATGTAAAGCACAGCTGTGGTGTCAAGTTTAAAGGGGATCAATAAATATATTTTTTGCAAACATTTCTCTGACTCCTAATTATATATATTTATATATATATATTTTCTTGTTTAAAGGTCATATTTGAGCAACTATTTTGTCAGCTTAATCTTATTAGCATATCTAAAAATACTCAGACATTTTCTGTAAAGGAGGGCTGGGGAAAGGTTATGAGTGGTAGATTATTCATCCACAGGCAAGTGTTGGCTTTGTGTATATAGCTACAGTACACCTGATTACAGGTGTGTTTCCTGTGCTTACATGTAATTGTACATCAGAGTTCCTTTTGCAAACAGTCAGCATTACTGGCAGGCAATTTAGGTTGCATCACCTGCAACCAGAGGTAATTATCTTAACACAGACAGCAGTACTTACAGCTTCAGCGTGAGGGTTATATTGCATGCAATTATTCTAAACAAAGCACCTCATTGAGGACTTGAGCTTTATTACGCTTTGTATCAAAGTACATTTAAGTATCGCATCACCTGAAACCAGAGGCAATCTGTGTTATATTGCAGTGCATGTCCAAACAAGTGAGCTTGTTGAGGCTTCCAGTCTTTATTGTAATTTGAATTCAAATATTTTTCAGTTAAAAACAAAACTGCAGATATTGGCAACAAGATAAATATGAGAACAATCATTTTTACACCTATTTAAAATAGTGTTTATGTACAGATCGAGTTTGAACTGCTGACATAATTTTGGGTGGATAAGAAGACAAGATTTTCTGCTGCTGAACTGTGTTTTCAGTTACATATCTAGATTACAGATATAAAGCTTTTCTAGTTTTAGGCATAAATGATTGTTTAGGTAGTTTGAACAACATGATGATGCCAGGACCAACCAGCAGGGAGGACACCCAAAGGCCCTGTATGTTAGCGTGCCATTATAAAACCAGGTGCAGATTTATGCCCCAGAACAAGCCTTGTGGGATTACATTATATTAAGTGTTAACTGTCACAAGTAAATGTATTCTAGTTTTTACTTGATCACATTCAAAACATCCAGTCACCACTTACAAATGTGCTCCAGGGGATTGTGTATGTCTGGGCTTCAATAATATAAAATAAAAGAATCACTTTCAACTTTACTTAAGAGCCAACTGCTGTATTAGTATCACTGGAAGGAAAACTGGCTCAAAGTGCCTGCATTCAGTGAGAATGCTGTTAAAGGACTGCTGTCCTCCACCCCCAGGAGCAAAGTTCAAGTTTCATGAATAAAGCACCACTTTTATTCTAGTTTATTTCGCTTCACTCAGTGTGCTTAGAAGATATCAAATATCATAGCCATTTCAATACAGAGCTGCATTATTGTACAAGACTAATTAGGACAAGCTATCGCAAGTGAATTAAGGGTCCGGTCAGGCAGCTTAAAAGACACATTAAAATTATGTGGACGCATATGACAGACCAAACCCTTTAATGCTAAAGGCCTAACCATACACTTCCATGATTTCTAGATACACCAGAAGCAGGTAGATTTTCACGGAGAATTCAAAGTGCCTCCTTTTTAAACAGGTTGCAGGAATTGAAAGGCCGCTTTTTTCATTATGATTACAAAAAAGAAAATACAAATTGTGAGCAGGGTAAGACTCCTCTCATGAGTTTAGGGCCCCGAGAGCAGAGCCCGTGCTGTGCATCAAAACATATTCGGGGGAGAAAAAAAAAAAAACAAAACAAAAAAAAAAACAACTCATGGCTGAACTAGAACAAGGCCAAAACAAAAAAAACAAACCCCCCAAAACAGCTTCTGCCACAACTCATGTCAAGATCTAGATGTTAGGGACCTTGAAATGAGACACCCTCTCTGTGGTCTAGATGCGGCACAGATCCACTGCTACCGGTAGTCTGAAGCTGAAGGATCCCCTCAGAAATAGTTTCACTTTAAACAGGTGGCATAAGGTAACAGGATTCTTTCAACAAAGAAGGTGCCATGTACTGTCATGTGTGCACATCACACTGCTAAAATTTACCTTAGCACAGCAAGAATATGTGAGATAAATCTAGGCACAAAGCCAGCATCCTGGAAACACATCAGTTTGTTCATTTTATCATAAATACCTTGGATCGCTTTGGTTGAAACAAATGCATTTGGCTTTTTGTTTTAAATATTTCTGACTGGTCTTGTGGGCAACAGAAACATTTGTTTATCTATATATTTGAGGGCACTTCTAACCTTAAGTTTCTATATTCACTTATATTCCTCTTCAATCCAGACTAGCAAACTACTTTAAGAAATCAGCAGACCACCCGCTGCAGGGAGGAAAGTCTCACAGTTCACTCTTATGTCAAGGCTGATGGCTGTAGCTGACAACATATGAGACAAATCAAAATACAGGGAAGGTAGGATTAATAATTTTATGTCTGTGGAATCCTCTGCCACTAAAGTAGCTTTGTGTGTGCGTCCGAGTGTCTCTATTTGCCATATGCATTTCAGTGTGTGTCCCTTTTCATCTGGGCTTCCTAATTTGTGTCCATGTGGTCATCGGCTGGCTCCGGGGCTCCTCCCAATGACGCCGAAGGTTGAGGTTTAGAGGGGCTTTCTTCGTCTATGCGCTGATAGAACAGCACGTAGGCGGCTTTAGTCTGTAATGGCACAACACGGGTAAGATTACATTACTAGAAGAGGAATACTTGACACCAAAGTCAACACACCAGCAAGTGTCAGTACTCATCATTCTTTCACTTGAAAGACTAAAGAAAACAAACACCCAGTGATCACCAGTACACAACACTGAAAACTCACCACTATCTGATCCTCTGTGGCAGATGAGACGCTGCTGTCATCAAAGTAATACCACTTTCCATCCACTTTATTCTTGCCATAAGCCGTGTCTGTTACACAGAGACGGTGTAAGGTTAACGCATGACTTTTCAGGAATTTTGTTCAGGAAGACATAAAAGTCTGATTACACTGCTTCACTATGACAAAAGATGGCATATCAAAGAAAAATAAACTGAGTGTGAGTGCACAATGAAAACAATGATGTACGAGGCTCTACGCCTTATTACATTTTAACCAAATGCAGCGTCCTTGGAGACAGAGTGACTTTCTGAGCACCGCATCTGCTGACACATACTGTCACATACTGTGTTCATGTTTAAAGGCTAAACAAACTGCGACCAGCAGTTGGCATCAAAGACTACATAGGGGAAATTTCATTGTATAAATTAAATGCTGACTTACAGTGACCCCCTCCCATTCCTCCATAGTGGTTTGACACAGCAATAAGGTCGTAGACGTAGGGGCCGGCCTTAGGGTCACACACAAACTCAGACATGTTGAGATCCCTGGCAGAGAAAATACCATCAGATGGTGAAACCCTACATGTACTGCACTGTTTAAGCCATCCTTACTAAGTGTGAGTCAGACTTTTGTTTTAAAATAAGGATTTCAGCAACACAATCTGCTCTGTGGTTTCCGTTGGATCAAGTTCCTCAACGGTGTTCTAAGATTGAAATGTAGCTGTTAGCTTAACTGTGAGGCAACTTCCCTTTTATAACACAATAGAACATTTGTGTCTCTCTAATGAGGGAGTGGGGAAAAAGTTAACAAATTAACCAGCGTTGGGAAATCTTATGCATTTGTCACCTAACATCTTAGTCATGTAACAAACTCCATTGTTCCTCAGTCACACACCCACAGCAGCAGGTTTCTGGAGCAACCTTGGGTGTCTAGCCCAAAGTTGCCATGTGGAGGAAAAAACAAAACAAAAACAAAACTGCAAAGCCCTCGATTAATGAACAACCTGGGCAAACAAATCAGTAACCGTCGGTATTTACAAAAATCCACACAACCGTAAAAGATAAGAGCAGAAAGTAGGTCTAAATGTTCTATTTGGGGTCATGCCAGTTTATAAGATAATAATCCACTTCTTGTAAGTTGAATGAGTGTTTCCTCATTCAGAGCTCTGGTTGGTTATTCTGTGAATTTCAAACTACAGCTCCCCCTAGAGTCAAAGCTATACCAAATACTACAGTGTTTTCCAGTTCCTTATTTTTAAATTTTCACTATTTTACATGAAACTACATTAATGGTTGTAATCATTTTTCATACACTTCCTTTAACTTTTAAGACAAATCTTTTTAAAACACACAGTTTTTCCATTTATATTACAAGAGGCCTCTCAATCAACGCTGTAACATCAGTCATGGTTTAATGATGTTAAGAGTTGTCATCTTGATTGACAATGCAAATTGAAATTTAGCTGACATGACTAAGGAAGGAACCATCTTTACAAAGAAGGTTCTGTAAAGAAGTATTATTTTCTACCTTCACTACATGGGTAGCTGCTATGTGGAAAACTAAATCATTGTTTAGCCCATTGCTCTCTTATCTATAAACAAATCACACTAAAAATAAACTGAGAATCATGTCCTTATTTAGTTTTTCAAGAAGTTCTATTTGTAAGTACTGAAGTCAAAAATGTGTGATACTGATCTTGACAACAGTATGCTGACAAAGAGAATTTTAGTTTTTTTTATTTCTCCTACCAAAAGGTACAATATTAAAAAGTTAATTTGTAAAAAGCATGTGACTGAGTATATAAAAGGCAGGAGGATTTTTTTGCATCTGTATTTGCTAATGCTACTGGACACAGCCAATAAAAGGAAAGAGGGAAAACTGAGTAAAATATCAAAGTCCCAAATGGTGAAAAGACCAACTGAGGATTCTGCCACGACAGTACATACCTGATGGGAAAGTCCACCACTGTGTCCAGCTTGTCCCTCCAGCATCGGTTGTATGAGAAACGCTTTAGATGAACCACCAGAATCCGAGGAAGTGACCATAAGTCAAACTTCTTTGTGGCCTGTTGGTGTTTCTTGCATGTTGGACAATACCTACAAGAACATATTCAGTTTAGATAAAATATAATGTGTGTAAACATTTAAGAGTAAGTTATGCTGAAGGGTCCTCACCATGGGTCATGCTCTCCCAGTGTTTCCATTGTTGTAAAGAGCTCGATGCATTCCCTTAGAGCCACAGTGGTTTTCTTTTTTTGGGGCTGCAGCATGCTCTCATG